GGGTTTATAGTTTAGTAGAGGGAATAATATATTTGCATAAATAACTGCATTAAGAAGTAGATTACATAAGAGGAATAAGAACAATTAAGACAAGCAGTGGAAAGATTACTCTGAGGTTTAAGGAATAATTTTAATGTAGGTCTTATCTGAAAAGACCGTGAAGCAGAGTTGTGATTCAGAACTGCAGAGCTAGCAGAGTGGGAGGGGGCTACAGATCAAAGGAATAGCCTGAAAAGGGCAGGTACCCAGGAAAACAAGAGCCATGCCTGAAAACAAAGCTGCCAATCATGCAAGGTAATGGTGGTGTTGATGGGTGAGGGGGATCAGTGACAGACGGGGGGGCCCTCGAACATCTGACTCTACGACCAGAAGCTCAAATGCAATTGTGCTCTAGTCTTTATTTCTACCTTGAGTTCAGCCCTTAGAGTAAAGCAACTTCAATCGAACCTTACATAAGGGTAAAAGTGTGTTGTTGTTGTTTTTTTAAAGAATCTCCTATACCATCCTCTGTATTCTACTCTTACTATAATTAGGAGAAAGCAAGAGGATCTGAATTTTTTTTCTCAGCATGTTTTTGGCTTTAAACGTTTAGTTCTCAGGGGCTCAACTGGTGTGATGTTGGAAGAAACTGCCTTCACGTTCCACTGTCCAATCTTCAGTGGCATATCTCTCTGAAGTTTGTGGCCTCAACCCAGAAACGTCCCAATGCAAATAAAAAGACTGCTGTGAGAGGAGCCAGCTGAGAACCATCTATAGTGAAAGGCAGGCTACGTGTGTGAACAGCGTCAGTCTGGGAATGAAAGCTGAATGGCTGGGCGCGTCTGTTTGTTTGAGTTGAAGGCCTCTCCCTAACTCTTTCATTAAACACCCAACCAACCTTCAATTGCCCTCTTAGAACTTAATCTCAGTGCAACTTCCAGCATTTCAAAATCATCAAACATAAAGAGGTAATATCTTGAAAGAGGGTCTTTCATTCAATGTTAGGAGACTAAGTTCAACTACAAAACTCTACAAATGCCCCCAAATAGGAGGAATGATAGATTTATAAATCACTAACTCCACTAGGTTATGTATAATAAATTTATAACAAGCTGGTACACAGCTTTAAAAAAAAAGTGTGCTTCGAAATTTCTGAGAATTTAGAATTAGAGTGCTAAAGTACTGGCAGAATGTTTCTGATGAAATAGGCCTTAATCTGCCAGGGAAACATTTCTGAGGGTGTCTCAGGAGAGCTAGTTCATAATTAAACTCCATTCAGCAATAAAGTTGATGTTCATGTTTTCTTTGATTTTTCCTCTGTTGTAAATTCCCTTAATGTAGGAACCCTTTCAGCCAGTCTGTACCCCAGTATTTCTCAAAGTGTTTTCCAAGCTACCTGAATCACTGGGGCCTCACCCCAGGCCCAACCAATGAGGCTTTATAGGGACTGGGTCCTGGAATTTGAATTATAGGGAAGAAATTTCTATACTTCTGTGATTACTGGTTACCTCCACCTAGATTCTGCCTATGTTATTCTTTCAGCTCCTATCTTCCCAGACACCTGAACTATTCAGTGATGGAACTGACACTGGGGCTAGAGACTCTTCTTAGAAGGCATGTTCCCTGACCAGTAATGTCATCCAGAGTCAAAAACTTAATCTAATACTTTCACCAACAAGTCACAAACAGCCAAGGGATCAATTGTGGGTGGAATTTCAGAGGATAATTACAAGCCAAATTTCTTTAAATGCCCAACCATTATTTACTTTTCTTCCTTTTACTATTGTTCACTTTTCACCCTGTTGTTTTCTGTTAGCCTTTTCTTTTCTTTTGGATTCCCCTCAGGTACTGAATAATAAAACTGGCTGAGGGTATCAGAAGAAAAATGATTAAAACAATGTCACTCTTGCAAAAACATATCTTCCAAAACAATTTCATTTCTGACATATAAACCCCACACTTCTTCAGCCCATTTAAGCTTTCCCTATTTAAATATAAATAAATGTATATTCTGGATACTAGCAAATTCACTATTTTCTCAATACTGTCTTTGATCTAAAGCTCAAAAATATATTACCAAATGTATCTTTAAAAGTTTTACACTTTATCTTCAAGTCAATCAACCATTTATTTTATAACTTATTGTTATAGATTCTATGAAAGAAATTAAAGAAGAAAGTAAAGTGTACATAACATTTAACAAGGAGGTTGTGTGATTGATGAGAAGAGATGGAACTACAGATAGAAGACCTAGGTTTAAGTTTCAGTTTACTAATCCACATGATGCCAGGGACATATTTCACATAATGTCTCCAGGTGTCAGTTTCTTCTTCAAATAAGAATCAAAATAATTCTTGTACCATACAGTTATTGTCAAGTGTTAAGGGGGATCTTCAATATTTTGTTTCCTAATGAATGCCTGATAGTGGCTAAGGAAATCACAACTTGCTCCTTGATCTCTGAAGCAATGTTTCCTTTATATTTATTTTTTGGGGTCTTTCAAAATGAGATTTGGTTTTCCTGCCCCTTCCTTAGAGTTTTAGGACATGGTTTTTGCATGTCTGGCTCATCTACTATCAAATATGAAGCACAGTGCCTGCATGCACTATTGCCACCAACTGGCACTAGGGGTTACTGCAAGCCAAAATCTGGGTGTGACAGGCCACAGCTTCATGATGCCTTGGCAGGCAATTAAAATTCTGAGCAAATGGACCAAAAACAGTATCATTTCTTCTCCTTCCTTGTTGACATAAACTGAGTAATACAACTTTGACCTAAACCTGCAAAACCACCTTACTCTTTCTTCGTCTCTGACTTACCCTAGGGCTCACAATCAACAACAATTAGAAAATTGTTGGCTCTTTCCTAAATCCCTAATGCCTCTTCCCTCTACTTACAGTCAAAGATCTGCAGAGAATTCTGAGACTTGTAATGCCAGGATGGGGGCTAGGGAGCCCCAAGCAGTTTACTACCAAAATACACCCAGCATTTTACATGTGTTTAATCTTTAAAAGCCTATGAGTAGCGTATCAAAATCTTTGTTTTAGAGGTTAGGAAACTGAGGCTTCAGTTGGTTCAGTAACCTTTCCAAAGTCACCCAGTTCATGAGCAGAAGGAGAGGCTTCAAACCCAGTACTGAGCCAAGGTTCTCTCCACCATCTCTCAAGGCCTCCCTCTGTGTCCCATCTCTCTCTACATCTTTCTGCTTCATCTTCTATGGAGTTTTAGGAAGATATCTCCTACCCTAGATACCTATGCCAGCATATTAGAGTCACCTGGAGAGATTTTTACAAATATGAATGTCTAGGTCTCCTCCAGACCATTTATAATCAGAACTCTGGGAGAGGGGCCCCAGCATATTTAAGTTTTGGTTTTGTTTTTGTTTTTCTTTCATTTTGCAAATGATTCTGTTGCACTACTATATTGAGACCCACTGGTTTAAGTAATGACATTACTCATGTTAAAAATATTTTCTATTGCTTTAACATTTAATCAGGGGTATACTCTTACTATAAAATATCTTATTAACATATGGTTTCTCTCTTATTGTAATAACAGGTGGATGAGATATTTATTGACTCGGCCTTGAACAAGCATTACATTAAGAACCAAGTAGTCAGACTGACGTACGTATGTTTGGGCAAAGGTGGATTCACAGCCTGGAGGGACCAAAAAAGGCAAAGGAGACAGAAACCCTCATATATCGTTACCTCTTTGGGCTTGGCTCTTGGCTGTCTTTCTCATAAATATTATCTCCACAATAGTCTCGAAATACAGGATTGACCACAATTTTGTAAACGCAGAATTCAAGACTCTGAGAGGTTACGTGATATGTTCAAAATTCCCCAAGTGACAGAACGAGAATTCAAACCCCATCAACTTGTTGTAAGTCCTGGAACTACCAGAACCCATGGCCTTGAGGAAATCCAGCAGCATGTCACCGCATGCACCGAGCTGTATTCATTCAATACACATGCCATTTCAAAAATATTAAGAAGGCAAAGCTGACCATAAAATAGGATCATGAGTCTTACCTGTAACGAAGCCCTAGTGACAGGAGGCATGCCTAAACAAAAAGATGTTCCTGTTTTAAGGAATTTATGCTTGTTGTGGTAGAGGGGGAAGACTCATATCAGTTGCAGAAATTGCTCAGAGGTTTCAATTGTGTTATATGGAAAGTATATAGCAGAACATATACGTAACAGATGCAAATCTATGGGCCAGTATGACTCATCTTCTTAAATAAAATGAATATATTCAGACAGGCTTATTTGAAAGAAACAATTATAACTTTTCTCACCAGTAGACTAATGCCTCATTGGCAGACTCACTCCAAGTTCCTTATAGCTTTACTGAGTTAACCAGTGATCTGCAGAAGGATTTTACAATATACCTGGATAAATTCTACAATATTTAGGAGACAGAAAGCATATATTTGCTGAAACTTTCTAAATTTCATGCCTTCCTTTTCCAAATTCTGACCTGCCATAACATTCTAGCCAAGTTATCACAGTTTTATTAATACCTTTGAATTTGTTGTCATTATCACTATGTAAGCTTTTGTGTGGGTCCAGAGAAATTCCCCCTGGTAAACAATGTTTTCCTTCTGATCTGAGAAGAGGGAAAAACTACTTGGTCATTTGTTTACCAATTTACTATAAAATTCTAATTACTTATATCTTCACATTCCAGAGCCTAAGTGAAACACAATATCTAAAATATCTTCTAATTTATATGATTTCCTCTTTTTTAACTGAAGGATTCAGGAAAATAGGCCTTTAGTGCTTTTTAGATCTTGGATTTTTTGAAACATAAAAGTAAGAGATGGCAGATCAATACACAGTTTTCCATTTTTCAGGGACCTTTTATTGCTTGGTTTTTCTAGTTTGAGTATGTAAAAATTCAACCACACATGTGAAGGAACTTGAACCTGTTTACATGAAAAATTTTCCAGAAATGGACATGTTTAATCTGGAGAATACTCAGAGACCAAAAATATTGCTGTCTTCAAATATTTTATGTAGAAGAGGGAGTTTATGTTTTACGTGTGTCCAAAATGGCAGACCTAAAAGCCAATGGAATGGAAAATGCAGAGAGACTTATTTCAACTCCAAAGGAAGAACTCTGCTAATATGAGAGCTGACCAAAAAGAAATAGCATGTTTAGGGAAATGAATTTCCCATCATTTTAATTAGTTTGCTGAGGTTAGACGAGCACTATGTCACGGAGGTGACTATGATTATCAGATGAGTGATTGGCCAGAGAGACCACTAAGTTTCTTCCAGGCTTCAGAGTTTATGATATTGATAATAACATTTTGGTGCTCGAGTCTTACTCAACTACTATAACAAGCCTTCAAATTAATGGGGAAAATGCACTCAAAACATAACGAAAACTTGCAGAGAGAACATATGAAATGACCTTGAGTCATAGAGTGACATATGAGTGTGATGATTAGCTCTTGACACTTTCAACAATTAAGGCATAATTTAGTAGGAGAAAATACAGAAAAGAGCATAAGATATACTTGACGTGTTTTTTGAACAAGTACCTTTCAATCGTATGTCGTAGTCCAGAGGAAGACGGTGCAAAAGTAGATGTCATTATGGTGTTCCAGTTCCCCTCTGCTGAGCCAAGGGAAGTAAGAAAAAAAATCCATCGCATCTTAAATGAGAAGATAAGAAACACCAGAGCCTTGTCAATAAATGCCTCATCAGTTCAAGTTAATGGTAAGCAGCTACCTTTCTATGTGATGTGAGGTTCTCTATTAATTCCATTTTATGTCTAATCAAACTTTATATCATTATTTCCATTCCACGTAATACCTAGAATTCAGATGGAAAACCTTCAATTTAAAAAGTGGCATTTAAAGGTCTTATTATTCTCTGATGAAAGTATGTCTGAAGTTAATTACTAAGTGTTTTTTCCTGTAGTAATTGACTGGCACTCACCCAAAATAAAAGCAAATGTTTACCACTAACAGAGAGGTAATCTGACCCAGCCACGGCCTCCATGACTAAGCAAGTGAAAACACCAAGTATTTAGCAATAATTGCTCTTCTGTTTCTAAAACATAAACTCATTTGTTGCCTTTTAAAAGTATGGATAGCTTCTGTAAACAGTGAGATTATGAAGTTAGTGTGAACTTTTTTTTCCTCTGGGTACTTGGGAAAATAGTAAACCAACTTTGGAGCCACTAAAGCCATCTTATAAGTAGTGCTTTAAAAATCACTAAACTAGGGGAAAAAAATCATTGGAAACGTTATTGCTTCTCTAAAAAAAAGAATTAATATTTATCAAAGCCCTTTTCTATGCTCTTTACATGCAGCATCTAATTTCTATATTCTTGTAAAGTAGGCAAAAAGCACCTTTGTAGATGTGAGAGGCAAAAAAAAAAAAATTAAGGATTCCAATAATTAAAAGGAGCAAAGATTCAAATCCAGATCTCTAATTTCTCAAGACGCTTTATGAAAAAAGGGCTCTGTGGTCAAATACGTTTCAGAAATTCTGTGTATAATATTCACCCCTAGGAAATTCATCCCTTATACTAACATATTAAAGACTGTGAGGAGTCCAGCTAGACAGAAACCTGTTTATCCTTGTCCATTAAGCTGTTTCCATAAACATCTACTTCCGGGAGACAAGTGCAGATTTCCCCTACAAATTCCAATGGACACCGAGAGAATCAGAGTTAAGTGTGACTAATATCAGGTATGAAACAGAATGCCCTGCCCTCTCAGGGTATGGCTGACTCTTTAAGAGGAAACCTGACCAGGAAGCGAAATTTTGAGGGGATGGGATGGGCAGGAGTTTGCTGATGAGACAAAGAGTCAGCTATTCAGGGAATAAATCTGGAGACCTCTCCCAACTCAGGAGGGAAGAACCTGTCAAAGGCTTAATCCACCTTCTTTACTTTTTCGCTTGTGGGGAAGCAAATGAACCAAGGTTGTGAAATAGTGGAAGTTCTGCTAAGTTACATGATGTGTTTTATGCAATTTCTGATAACCAGTTAATTTGCCAGGAACTTACAAGCCTGAGCTTTGAAACCAAAAAAGAAGCACAAAATGGTCATCAGCTGCCTGGGCTTTTTGTTTCTTACAGGCTCAGTTTGTGACCTGCAGCGTATTTTAATGACTGAAGTAGAGTCAAGGGCAGGATGTGCTGATGGAGAACCTGACTTGAGAGTTACCTGACTAATTCTAATTCCACTGAGTCACCACAGGACCATCCAAATAATTGGCCCATGCATTGCCTCCATTTTCTCATCTGTAAAATTGCAATGATAATGTTTGTTATTCCTGAAATTATAGAAATACCATGAAGATATATGAGAAAATACAAAATACAGACAGTATGGAACATATAGACTATTACCACTTAGAAAGCTAGTAAATTGTGCATATGCTTTGGAAACCTGAAAGCATTAATGTGAGTGATTCGTCGTTAAAAACAAAAAAAAGTGGGGGAGGCCTAGAACACTGAAGGTCTCCAAATTTTCAGATGTAAAAAGAGCAGTGTTTACCAGAACTTAGGAAAGGCTCATTTATTAGAAAGATCAGTAGAATCCTCAAGGCAATTCTTATAGACAAAAACATTGCTCTCCAGCAACACTTAATTTGAAGGACTTCAAGCAAATGGAAAACTGCAGAAATTCTAGACCTAGTCTAGAAATAACCCTCTAGCCCAAGATCTATCCATAATTTGTCAAGAATCTGTGTTTTGTTTTGACAAATAACTGCATGGTGTGGGTCCCTTATGTGTAATATGTCAAAGCAAAACTAAAATTAATCTTTTGCACTGCAAATGCCAAGGCTGTGAAAGGACTACTTACTGCCTACAAGTTGTTAATGTGGCTCCACTTCCCATCATGTTACTTGTAGCATGTACAGCCCTAGATACTAACCATTTGACTCCTAACCCAGACATGTGTTTGAGGGCCACTCTCAAAACTAAGGTGTTAATGTTTCTTTTCACTCCCAGGCATGCAAAGTAAAAATATTTGGTCAAAATTAGAAATCTTCAACAGCAGTTACCTGTGTATGGATAGTTTACCCCTAGGTATAATCATTCTCACTAAAAATTTTTTCTTTAAAAATCCAATTACAGTCCCAGCCGTTGCACTTAACCCTGGAAAGGCGTGATTTGTATCTTGCTCAAACTAAGCTGAAGAAGTCTTAACTGAAGAGTTCTAACATTATACCATTTTCCATTTTAATGTATTACTAATATGTGGCATTAAAATACCTCATTTTATTGCACTTTCCCTTATTGCACTTCACAGGTATTTTATTTTTTATATTTTGTTTTTTGTTTTTGAAGGTTTGTGGCAACCCTGTCAGATAAAGGTCAGCATTTTTAGCAATAAAGTGATTTAATTAAGGCATCCACATATTTTTAAGGCATAATGCTATTGCACACTTTATACAGTACAGTACAGAGTAAACATAAATTTTATATGCACTGGGACACCAATAAAAAGTGACTTTATTGCAGTATTTGCTTTATTGTGGTGATCTGGAATCAAACCCATATACATATATATGTATATATATGTATGTGTGTGTGTATGCATATATATCTGCAAGGTATGCCTGAAGTTTAAAAAAAAAAAACAAGAAATTTACTACCATAATAAAACATTTGACAGAAAACTGAGTTCCTTTCGTAAGTAAACACTGAGAATCTGTCCTGACCAATTGATTCTTCACCATATAATGGTTTGGACAAACCTTTAAGGATATTCTTACACTGGATTATTTTCAAAAGCTCACACTTTGTAAAGTTCATCATCACTCGTTTCCCAAGTGAAATTCACAGAAGGTAAGTAGAAAGAAACATTCTTACTGTGCACAATGGGAAATTAGATGCAGAGAATATGAGTTTCAGAAACACGGCACTGGTAGAAATAAGTAAAACAGTCTAGCCTCATTATACTCATTAAGTCTTTTTAATTTGAAAACCATTACAATTTTCATGCAGACTTCCACCAACTTAAGTTTAAATGTTTGTATGTATTTTATCAGATTCCTAACTCTGCTGGAAATTGACAGATTTTAATCTTAGATTCTGTACAACAGTTGGCCTTTACAATATTAAGCAGATGTTTGATAAGAAGACACAACAGGTTTAGAACTGCATTATAAATATAGTTTATGTGGGCATTTTCTTTCTTTTTTTCATTCCCAAACCATTTGACCAAAGAAAGGCTTATATGAAATCTTAAAGCAGGCCTGTCCTGTCTCTGGCTGGGTGTGAGTCTAAAGATCCCATCTAGTCACTCCCTTTCTCCACTTTCTCTATCTCCTTAAGGAAAATCCAAAGAGGCTTTACCCTGCACCTTTGGAGAGCCACTGTTCTGTATTAATGCAAACTACTCATGGTTTTGATCATCCACTATTTGTGTCTTAATTACTCACTGCTTGAGGTATTATTCACCTAATTCGAGGTTGTCTATGAATTTCTACAAAAACTGTACACCTATTCTTACATCAGGTAGCTATTTTCCTGACTGATTCATATGCTCAAGTGTCTAGAATCCATAGTTAAGTCAGTACCCTCTGATAATTTCTGGTCATTGAGACCAACCAGAAGAATATCAAATCATCATTCTTTGTTCTATTTTGTTTTTCAGCAATGAGCTCATCAACAGGGAAGCTAACTGTCCAAGCATGTAAGTCTAGTTAGCTTATAAAAACAAGTTCAATTTCCATATCATAAAGGACAGTATCTTCAAATATTAGCTCAAAATTTCCCATCCATGTCCCACATTTTCTTTGGGAGAAAATAACAATTGGGCAAGAGATGAAAATACATCTCTTCTAACTCTGAGACTGATCTTTTTGTCATGTTCTAGGCAAATATTTTACATGGTGGAAATTTGGGGACAATTTTAAGAAATTATATATTTCTGATTTTGAATAAATGGGCTTGCCTTTCTAATTTTTTTAAATGCTATGAAATATGCTTTCTGCTGAGAAATAAAATAATGAGAAAGTGAAACATGGGGAGGAGATAGACCCAATTATTTGTGACTGACCTATAAAATGTATTAATTATACTCATCTTCGTGGCTGACAGCAGCTCCACTCACTCACTTCATATCACTGTGCCTTAAATTTTGAAAGTTTTTATAGCAGTGTGATGAATTTGAGCAAAGGTGTTCATTCATCTTCATCCGTGTCTTGCAAATACACTATATATTTTTATTCATTCATTCTACAAATATCTTTAACATCTACCAAGTGCCAGAAAGTGAATACAAGTGTGAAAGAGACATGATTCCTCCTCTAAAATTAAGAGTTCAGAGGTAGGGGAAGACATAAATAAATCAGAAAATGTTAAAAACAATGTGATAAGTGCTATGACAGAGAAAGTACACTATGCTATGAGAGTCAGTCACAGAGTCAGCTAACCTGATCTTTGTGGGCTCAGAAGGTAATTCCTGATATAAGAGAGAGGAGAGAACACAAGTCAAGTGACAAGTGGGATTAGTGTCCTGAGCAGGGGATGTAGTATGTAAAAATGTCTTCAGAAAAGCAAGAGCATGGTCATTTCTTTTTTTTTTTTATGGTCATTTCTTATAATTGAAAAACATCAGTATGGCTGGAACAGAGAATGGGGGTTTGGCAGGGGGCATGGGAAAGGGGTGTGATTAATAGTGATCAAGGACCAGAACCATGCTGAAACATTTTGATTTTGTTTGGAGGGCAATGAGAAGTCACTAAAGGATTTTACACATATCAGAAAGGTCACTCAGTTTTCAGTGTGGAGAGTGGACTGCAGGGGCAAGACCAGAGGCAGGAGGATGAACCGGAAAGCTGTTGCATTCCTCCAGATGAGAAAAATGGTTGTCTAAACTAGAGAAATGTGATGCAGATTTCTAAAATGACTGGCCACAGTGGGGGTGTAATCAGTACTGGTAAAATAAATTTCCCCTTTTGATACTTCACTTATAGGAACAAGAACTGAACCTACCATATTTTCTTTATTAGCACCATGCTCCAAACAGGCTTAATTCTTAGCAGGAACCCTAGGCAGCAAACTAACCTCTGATCTGATGCACACAGTACATTACATATTTATTTACACCAATAATGAATGTGATGTTTATATGGAAACATGGAACCCTCCATCCTGAAGAGTGAGACTGGCCATGATACATTAACTCAAGCGCACCTTAGGAACTAGTCAGAAAAATGTATAGAAGAAGGAGTTCCAAGGAATTGGCAGTAACCTCCCTAACCAGTTCTTCCTTCAGTCAAAGAGGACTTCAAAGTAACATGATGGGCTCACCTAAAGCTGAGAAACAGTCATCTTAGTAGGAGCTCCCAGAACATCTGGATAATTGATACTGCAAGTCCTCAGGACACATACTTTGTGGTGTGTCAACCCTTTGCAGCCTTACATAGCTTCAGAAGGCAATATATATATCCACATTTACAAATGGAGGGAGTGAGCAAAACACCAGCTATCAGGAAATACAGAGGATGGATATTAATGTTGTGCATGTTTATATAATGACAGATGCAAACATTGCATTGCAATACTCTACTAGTCTCTCTGTGTGAAAGATTATTGAGATGTTTCTTATGACTTAATGATCTCATGTCTTTCAGGTTGTGGTAAAAGAGTTGTTCCATTAACAGTCAACAGAATAATGTCCGGAGACCTTGCAGTCAAGGCTGCCTGGCCGTGGCAAGCTTCCCTTCAGCATAACAATATACATCAGTGTGGGGCCACCCTGATTAGTAACACGTGGCTTGTCACTGCAGCGCACTGCTTTAAGAAGTAAGTGATTGATGTTAACTTGCTACTACTGCTAAAAAAAATTCTGAGTTTTATCTTCTGAGTAATAATGCCCCCAAATTCTACTGAGATAAAATGAGAAAAACTTTCCAGGTTCATTTCTAAACTAATTTACACTAGCACTTATTTGGAAACTCAGTGGGGTTATAATCATTATCCTAGTGTATACTGATCAGGTCCTCAGAGTTTTACATAAAGAAATTGTATAAAGAGACAGAAGTCCTAAAACAAAATATTTACTAATAACATATATAATTAATTCTTTCTCAAACAATCCTCTTAATACTAGTGTCTGTTTCTGCCAAAGATTTGGGCCAGTCTCAAAATTATCAAATTAATTAAAAGTGAAATGGAAATCTTCAGTGGACATAGGAAGTTGGTAATGTGATAATGTGAGAATTGCTCAAATCAAACCTATAGTTTTGACATATTAAGATCTAATGGAATTAGAGCAGTTCACAAATCAAAATGAAAAAATGATCAGGATGATAAGGACAGGCACTTGAAAGAGATTCCTTTGAGTGACAGATTATGAAGAGAGGGTTTTGGGCCACCCAATGAGACCTTCATATTCAAGAGACACCTCTTGACAATGGTGCTACAAAGGGCAAACTGAAGTAAAGATAAAGTGTTTCATGTAGTTGTTTGAATGAACAGTTGACACTTGATTCTTTATTCATTCTGAGCATAGTTACAACATAAGTTTTATTAAGTAAAAGATAAAAGTGACTGTTTTTTTCATAATTTTAGTTTTACTTTAAAGAGAATAACCAGTTGGATTTTTATGTTTAAAATCTCGGATTTTTTCTAAGTAGATTCACTTTATGGCCTTTTTCTAGTATCAATTGTCATGGTGATAACAAGAGCTTCCTGGGTATTTCTGTAAAGCAGGTGGAAATAGAACTTAGTAGGTAAAATATTGCCAGACAGTAGGGGAGCTGGATCTGATCTCTGCAACCTTGGGCAAATTATTAAACCATAGTGTAATGGGAAACAGATGGACTAGATCATCTCAAGATCCCTTTGAGTCCTAAAATTTTGACTTTTGATAGCACAGTAAGTTCTGCCTACATATGAGTCTAAACCTATATAGAGACTTAGATTCTTAAAGTGTGAAAGACATGAGAGTTCAATAGGTCAACATAGTAGAAGTAACAGAAATCCATTAGTCAGGTGCCTAGGTTGGGACTGAATATCTTAAAATAATGGAGAGCTTACTAGCTCCAAAGTTAGGCGATTCTGTGGTAGATAGTTCTATGTTTGCAAATACCTTTATAACACTGAACACCAAATCTGCCACCTAATAACTTTTATCCATTGATATTTGCTCTTTCATCTGGAATAAAATGGATCAAATTTATTTCTTCATCCATTGAACAGCTGTTTCTTAGTTTCTCTTTTTCAGGCCTTATTATACATTATAAAGTAAGTGAGAATCTCTAAACTATATGTGAAAATAAATATTCTATTTTATTTCACAGCATCAACTTTCAGATGACCTCAAATCTTGGTTCTTCTCTAAATGCTCTTGATTTCTGTCAGTGTCTGCCTTAAAATATGCTTTGAAGAACTAAACACATCTCTCAAGACAGATAGTATGACCAGTGTCTTAATGACAAAATAAAATGGGAAGACTTCTGGAAAAAATTAAATAATATAAACTGAATGCAAGGGTAACAAGTAACTCAGTAAATAAACAACTCTATCCAAAGGATGATGATCAAGAATTGTTACTGAAATACTGAGGCCCACTAAAGATCTCAACTCTGCATCATGTCCTAGACAGTATATTTTCTGGGCTTGGCACATGATATGAAAGTTATGCTTATAAAGTACCTAACATTCTCTGGAAAGGAAAATCAATGTGTGAGTAAGAAATTCAGAAATTTCAAAAGGATTTTAATTATGTTAGAGTAATAAGCAATAACTAAATGATGAATTTAAGCAGGTATAAATATAAGGTTCTAACTTGAGTCAAAAAAAAAAAAAACTAAGTCTGTCAGTACAGAAAGCAGGTATCGGCTTTAACATGTAAAAATTGCTTAGAAATTTTTGCCACAAGATAGTCCACTGCAAGTCAGTTGTTTACAAAACTATATTGTGATTTAGACTGCATTAAAAGAAATGTAGAACCCAGAATAAATGAGATGTTAGACTCTGCTTTGATTAGATCGTACCTGCGATAGTGAATTCTGCCTTGGAAAACACACTTAGGGAGAACCTGACACAGTGAAGTGCTTTTAAAAAGTTTTAGATGATAAAGAAAGGTGATAATATACCCAAACAGCCTTGCCACTCAACATGTGGTCCACAGACCAGCAGCATTCACATCACTAGGAAATGTGTTAGAAATGCAAGAATCTCAAGCCCCACAGAATCAGGAGCTGTATTAATAGGCTCCCCAGGTTATTTGCACACTAAAGCTTGGGAAACACCATCCTAGGAGGCAAACATTTTATCCTGAGAAAGCCTGTAGAGATGGTAGTTTTATTCATATATCTGAGGTACTTTCTTATGGAAGAGAATTCAGGAATCAAGGAAAGACTTGTCAGCTGTCAGAGCTGCTCAAAGATGAAGGGATTGCAAGGTGAAGAAAAGGACTTTAAAGCAAAGAAGACATCCCCATCTGCAGAAGGGTTGGAGCACAGACACTCGTCAAGTGAGAGTGTTCCTGTAACAATGATGACTATTTATTAAGCTCAAGGATGCTACAAATATTTGGTTAGGTGCTTAAGATTTGTTTTGTATAATTCTTACACCCACTTCACTTGGTAAACCCTGCTTAGTAAGCCCTTTTTCACTGAAGAAAATCAGTGAAATAACTTCCTCAAGGTCTCAATGTTAAGAGATGGTGGAGTTGAACATAAGCATGTCTTCCTCATGGCAAGCCCCATTTTTTAAGCGTTATATCTGTGAGGACTGAATGACTTCTTCTGAGGTTACTTCATATTATTGCAGTTTAATATTGAGTGAACACTTGAAGAAATCTCCTCACATAATTGGTTATTTTTAAGCTAGTAATCAACAAAATTTTCAGATCCTTTTTATAGGAATGGCTTCCAGATTAGATGTCACCATTTTGAACTTTTATAAATTATTTGGTGATCTAAATATAGTTTAATAGTCATCATTATTAAATTGCATCTTGTTGATTTGGGCCCAGATAAAAAACTTAGAAAGTTTATTTGTAATCTTCACTTAGTGTCTTTCACGTCAGGTGTATTTTTCAGGTTTGTCATCCTCAAATGTAATAAACACAACCTGTATTAAGTAGTATCAGGGCACTGTATGAAAGCTGTAAATAAACACTCTCATTTTAGTAAATTCAATGCAAGTTCTATCCTTTGCATTTCCAAGTTTAAAATACTTAGATTTATGGTAAATTCATCCAGGCATGACAAAGTTGACCAGATCTATATCAATAAAACTCACGAAAGACTGATAGTTATTTTTATGTACAAAAGCAATTTTGTATAAAAACAAAATTTTAAATTGCCTTAAGAATAAAAATAATTCCAACACAATTAATAGCTGTCAAATTGGACTTAAACCCCATTGATACGTTTATCTTCTTCTTCCTATGACTAAAGCTACCTGTTAAGAAATAATTAGGTTGAGAAATGAGTATCCATATGGGTATCTTTGCTTATCCCTCATGGGGATGTCAGTTCAATTATTTAGTTAAGGAGTATTAGTCTTCTTACTAATGAATAGATTTTGGTGAGAGATGGTATCCTATAAAGAGCAGCAAGAGACAAGCTGACTTGTGATACTAGGCATATAATTTAATCCATCTAGGCCCTATTTTTCTTAAGTATAAACATAAGCTTTAGTAGATGACCTTTCCAATCCTTGGATGTACCATGATCCACCAGCTTCTCATCCAGTGAATTCCCATCTCACTTACATAGTACCTAAGTGCTTTATTCATGACCTATAAAACACTCTAAAATCTGGCCCCTGCATACCCTCTCCAACCTCACCCCCCACCTTTCTTCCCTTGTGCCATGAACCACAGCCTGTTTGGTCTAAGCCCTTGGGAAGTTTGACCGTAAACTTGTCTTCCCATCTTCTCATAGCTGACTCCTCGTCAACCATGTCTCAACCCAAATGCCACGTTCTCAAGAGACTTGTCTAATTATCCCCTTGTACTCTATCCTGTTGCCCTGTTTTATTTATAACCCTTATCACTGTTGTAAGTTATTCACTTGTTAATTTGTTTTGTTCTTTATCTTTCACTGCCATCAAACACTCCCACCAGCAGAGAATTTTGTCTTGTTCACCACTTTATCTCCAGCACTTCAAGTAAGTTTCAGCACAACACAGATGTTTAATAAAGATTTGCTAAAAAAAAAAGAATAATATTTTATGTGCTTTACAGTTCTAAAACTCAATAATTCTGTATTGGATTTCAGCTCAGATACTGTTTGTGCACATTTTACCTTTCAAAATGTTAAGAGAAACTATATTTAAGTGGTCAAAGAAACCTATCATTGCAACCAAGTATTTCAGGATGAAATTTTCTCTTTTATTAGCCTACATGTGATTACTGTAACACAGTTCATATATTCTGTTCATTTCTAACCTTTTCCAGGAAAGCAAATCCAAGTCAATGGACTGTTAGCTTTGGAACAACAATCAACCCTCCATTAATGAAAAGAAGTATCAGAAAAATTATTGTCCATGAGAGACCACTCCCCAGCAAGAGAGTACGACATTGCTGTAGTGCAATTCTCTCCCAGAGTCACTTTTACTGATGACATCCGTCGGGTTTGTTTGCCAGAAGCCTCTGCGTCCTTCCAACCAAATTCAACTGTCTATATCACAGGATTTGGAGCACTCTTCTATGGTGGTGGGTGTCTCAAAATGGATCACAGAGCACCTAGCTCTATTTATGGCAGTATGATTTGATGCACATCAATATTATCCTGTCATTTTTCTACAGTTTGTTCAGATTAGTTAGGGCTCCTGTTTTGCAAGTGACAGAAACTCAACTCAAATTAACTAAAGTAAAAAGCAATAATAAAATTGCAAATTTTGCCCTTATAATTTGGAAGTCAAGAGATGAGTCTGCCTTCAGACACAGCTTGAGTTTGTATGATGTCATCAGGCTCTGAATCTCTGAGTCTTTTCATTAATTACTTGGCTGTTTTCTCCTAGGTCGCCTTCATATAGAGGGACTCTAGCTCCACATAGTGGCAAAGGTGGCCAACAGCAGCTCAGTGTTTATGTCATCTTTACCTAGTTGATGCTGAGGGCAGAACATGTCCCTCTCTTTGCCAGAACCTACTTAATTCCTGAAATGGTTTCTTATGGCCCAGGGGTACTCAGATAGACTTGCTAACTCAAAGACTCACTTCTACATCTGTACAAAGAAAGGCAGGTATGTGATTGGCAGCCTGGTCAGAATCATATGAAACTAGAGAAAGACAGTTTCAAAAGGAAAGACAGAAAAAAATGTTCCCTCTAACACTAAAATCTATGTGCCATTCTCTATGCAAAGCCAGGTATGCTCTATGTGTGTTGTGATCTTCACACCCACCTTCACTCCAAGACTCCTTCACCTTGAGCCCATCTCTGTGAGCCTCCCCTCTCTTTTTTCATCTCCTCTTCCCCGTAGTTTGCTCCATCACTCATTTTCACTTTCCTCGGTCACATCATAAAATTTTCCTTTGTTCAGCTCCAATCTCCAGTTGTAGCATAATCTGCTTCAGAACCAAACAGGCTAATTAAGAGAGATCAGGGATACGACTACTATATAGAGAGAAATCGTCTCTGCTAACAAACCTTCCGTTGCCCTCTCAAAAATGATTTAACTTAGTATACTAACTCAATCTTTTAAGAAATAAAAATGATTTCATTTTTGAATGTTTGTGGGGCATACTTAGTCAGACACACTCTGGATTCAAAAATCTGGTCCAGGTACATACATATAACAATAGTGAGAGGGATTCTTGAACTCTGGGCTTGAGAAGGTAAGAAAGGGCTTTCTGAGAGTAACATCCATTCACAGAGCTCTAGACAATTTATTTATACACAATAAACTCTGAAGAATAAACCTTTAATTCTCATTCTCCATTAAGGAGGCTGGTTTTAAACACTGAAATTACTTTGTTTTTCCTTTGTTTTCCTTTGTACTTTGTTTTCTTTACTTTCTATAAGGGGAATCCCAAAATAATCTTCGAGAAGCCAGACTGAAAATCATAAGTGACGATGTGTGCAAGCAGCCACACGTGTATGGGAATGATATAAAATCTGGAATGTTTTGTGCTGGGTATCTGGAAGGAATTTATGATGCCTGCAGGGTAGGTGGAGAGAGAATATTTTGATATCATTAAAAAAATGTATCTGTCTCAAGAAATATTTGACGTTCTTTACATTAGTAAAGTACAGATATCTTATTTCAAATTTTTCTAACTGCAAATTTCACAACACAAGCATATTTTTAAATGTTTTATTGAGCAAAATGAAATAAGTGAAGAGTTTCTTTGATGCTATCAAATAAACTAACCAATGAAATTTAATTTTCTTAATAGCAGAAGCCCAAAAGTTCATAAAGCAGAATCCCTTTCCTTACAGAGCTCACATCTAGAAAGAAAACCATCATGAACAATGAATTCTGATGTGATATTATAAATTACATAATGGACAAATTTTTTATTAATGTGTAGTTGACTGAGAATATTGTGTTGGTTTCAAGTGTGGAGAACAAATATTTTTGGCTTGAAGGGAACATTTTTGGAACAAGTATTAGAGAGATGAAGCCTGAAGCATAAATAGCACCCAGTTATAGAATAAGGGAATACTATAAAAAAGAGAAAAGGCATCGCCAAAATTATGAAGATGTGAAATTACAATTCATATCTGAGGCAATTCCAAGTAATGTGATGGGTCTCAGCCTGTGGAGGATGGGAGGTGAGATGCAGTTACAGCCGACCAGGTGGATCAGTCCCTTTTCCAGTGCTCCCCTCTATTATACAGCATTTATTCTGCATGAATATTTTCTGACAAAGGTGTAAAGTGTTTTTCCTCCTGGTGGCACTTGCTTTATGAGATTCTTAAAAACTCCAAGGAGGTGATTCTCCATAGTGAAATGATGGGAACTGGTTTGTTATCAGGTGGCAGAAAGCCGTGTCCAGAGTCCCACAAATTACACAACACAGACACCTCTGTCAAAAAAAGAGCAGCAAGTTTTGCAGCATCTGGTAAGATGGGTAAGGGCAGCATCTGGTCCATATCTAGCTTCAGTTGCTGAGAACGTAGAGGGAGGCAGCTAGAATTCAGGGAATCCAAAGAGAGGTTCATGCCATGACAGACAAGTGGAAGGTGGTGACCAGAGTGTAGGAACACACCAGACGTGGGAATCTAGGCAAATGGGGAGATTAGTGATAAGCCTCAGGGAAGACTGGTGATCATAAAGTGCTTTCACTGGATTGGGGAGCTGAGGTAAGATTCCTGCCCCATGACTATACAGTGAGTAAGTAATAAGAGCTCTAGTCATAGAAAAATTGGGTAAGGTATTGAGGAAATGACTCGGGCACAGAGCTCTAAGACAGGAATACAGTCACTGCTACTGAATACATGGTAAGGGACCTAGTCTGACAAAACAGAAGTCTAGGCACCCTGTTTAGAGTCAGAAGAAATCCAACATCAGCTTGACAATCTGTGCTGTATACGTGAAATTTTAAGAGTAGACCTTAAGCATTCTCACACAAACAAAGTAACTGTGAGGTGATGAATGTGTTAATTAACCTGATTGTGGTAATCATCTCACAAAGTATATATGTCAAATTATCATGTTATATACTTTAAATATATATAATTGTATTTTTAAATTATTTGTCTATAAAGCTGAAAAAATTTTAAAAATTAAAATGTTGAAATTGAACTGAGGCCTTTATAACTTTTGAAATCCATGTTTCAATTAATTATCCTATAATTGGTAATCTATACATTTACTACTAATAATAAAGCATGTGGTTCATTAAAATATCGTAAGTAATAAGTTATATATTTAGCTTATTTTCTTTTTCTTTTTTTCTTTTCAGGGTGATTCTGGGGGACCTTTAGTTGGAAAGGATCTTAAAGATACCTGGTACCTCATTGGAATTGTGAGCTGGGGAGATAACTGTGGTCAAAAGAACAAACCTGGAGTCTACACAAAAGTGACTTATTATAGAAACTGGATTGCTTCAAAAACAGGCCTCTAATTCCCTATACAAGTTAAACATGGAGAGCTGTATGCAGATCATACATGTATGAGAATCCAAATATTCTGTGGATATAAGTACATTGAAGTGAGATTAAATGACATGATTTAGTTCAACATTGCTTTCATCAATCAAAAACCCATAACCAATTTAAAAAAGATTTAAATCTGTAAAGTAGTGGATCAATTTAACCTGTCCTGCAGCTCTTTAAATCATGCAAGCTAGAATATTAATGAGGAGTAGTGCAAATTTCTGAGGATAATCCACGATATTTTTAGAATGTCTTTGTTAGGGGTGTCCCCTTAAGTGAGAAACTTTTTAAACTCTCAGAGTTCGGGAAACCCTTATATAATTTTCTATTATTTCTCCAGAGCTCACAAATACTTCTTTTTTCTTTTTTCTTGTTCTTCCAGATTTTCCAAAGAGATTTCCCACATTTTCTATTTATAACCCCACTGAAAGGATCTTCATTTAAAAACAAAGTTATATCTAGGAAACAAAGTATGGTGATAAATCAAGCCAGAAATCTAACTTTTGTCAGCTGTGAAACCTCCCTAATTTCTTGGTGATTCTTTAACATATATACACACACACAATATACTTAACTTCAGATATACCCAGAAAAGCCTGATTAATGAGTAAATATATATATAGTAATTAGCTAATCAAAACGTATTTTTGTTACAGAGGGGAAAGGTAATGGTAGTTTTATGAGCAGTCCCAAAACAATGGCACAAAAATTGGACATTTTATAGATGCATTTATATATTTGGACCACCAGAGGCGTCCTTGTACATTAATGCCTAGAAAAAATTGAGAATTTGCTAATATGTTGAAGAATTAATGAGCATTATCTTTCCACATAGAAAAAGTTTATTTCTTTGTATTACTGCAGTCAATTATCTACTTAGGCTTGCAGCAACAGCCTGACTATTTCAGCCATGAAAATTAGTTTTAAAAAATTTAGAAATATAAATTTTGAGGATTACCATACAGAACACATGAACAAAGTGATCTGAAAGAGCAAATAAACCCCCTAGGTAGTGTTTCATGAAGACATTAGGATAGTCAGGCTCATGTATTCCATTATACAATTAAATGAAGATTTTTGTGGAAACTGTTACTCTGTGTCACAAGGCTAGCTTAACATCAGGGTTACAGGCAGGGTGTCATTTACTCATGTGGTTCAAATATAAACCAAACCATTGGAAAAATCACTTTGTAATAATTTCCCCCACGTGCAGCTGATAAGGCATGAAAATAATCCTAAAATAATCTAGAAGAGATTTAAAATTTATTCATCACAAAAACTGTTCCATAACTTAGACTCACAAAATTTTAAAGTTTAGGAGAGACGACATGTCACATGTGCCAACATACTTACGGTTCAGAGAACTGAAGGCAAGAAATGTAAATGAATTGGCGAAGCTGTAGGTAATTTGTATCCCCAGCGGTCTTCATACCCAGGTGCCAATTTTACATGCCCTTTTCCTTACAAAGTATCTTTATGATTGTCTATATTTATTGAATCATCAGTTGTAGAAAAATTACAGTGAGTTCTATGGAATCTGTTTTAAATTAAGAAACTCTTAAGAATTTTAAATTGGCTTGCTGCTAATCTTCTGAACTCACTTCAAGATAAAGTTGCTTCTTCATATGTAAAATTATACATACACATATAAACTATTCAGTATTATGATGGTAAGATATACTTTTGATTTCTAGTGTTAAGATTCAAGAAATTATCTTAGAGGTAAAACTTTGCATTTGTTTTGTGCAATATTTAATTCTGGGTCACATGTAAGTGAATACCACTGTATCATTTAAAATCTAATAATAAAGTTGGTGATTGGAGCATTCTACAAATAGTATCACTGAATCTGTGTTAGACTAATAACATGAATCTTTTTTTCAAATGCTGTTAAAACCACATTTCTTTTAAATAAGTAGTTTGGGTCACTCCGAAGCAAGATTTCTCAACTCAACTTTCTCACTTTGGACATCTGGCCTGGATAATTTCTTTGAGAGTTATCCTATGGATCGTAGAATTTTAGCAGCACCCCTGACCTTCTAGATGATGTAACATACTCCTTCTCCCAAAATTATAATACTCAAAAATATCTCCAGACATTGGCAAATGTCTCCTAAGGGGAGACTTATCCCTGTTGAAAACTTGTTCCAAAGGAGCTTGATTATTTTCAGAAATGCCAGAGCTATCTCAAAATTAAGACACTAAGTGTTCAAAACCTACAATCTCCTAGTCAAACTGTATGTTCACTATCATGTTCCTAAAAGAAACAGCAGAATAAGTGTTTTTAGTCAGTGACTATTTCAAATACAGAGTGATCTCCACACACAGTGTGCTTAGAGAGTTTCTCTCCTACCCTTACCTTCACTATATTCATGGAGCACCATTAACCATTCCAGTAAAGACAGGTTTTCTATGAATATACCCTGAAGTAGAGTTTTTCCATCTTGACAACAATCCACAGTAAGAAATATATTTTATATCATAGCTCCATAAATACGTAACAAAATCCGTATGTATTAGAAATTGAAACGAAAGTTTCATAAAACAATACCCACCTTACTAAATACAATAAAATCTAATATTTTCTATTCTGTTTCATTTTTTAAAAATGCTTGCTCCACCAACAAAATTGATTTCACAACCTAACCTGTAGTTCCTATAGAACATTCTGGAATAATCATTCACATTACTAACATCATATTGTTATTATGTCACCTGCTCCCACTGCTTTCCCCATCTTTAATTTATCTCTACTCTATCCATTTAGCAAACTGTCGCTAGGTTATGATGCTATTCAAGAATGCTACTCCCATGGACTCAAATCTTCACTGATTTTCCCTTTACCTGACAAACTGAGTCTAAATCCATGTCACCATAGCTTTTAAGGCCCTTTACAATCTGCCAACAACCAATAAGTTTTGTTTTACTTGTACTCAGTGCTCTTGTAACACTGAACGTTACTCTTTATTTCTAGAACACGTAGATAGTAGGTCATGCGATGTTCTCTTTACTCTATGAGATTTAGCTCAATTATCACCTCTACCAAGAATACCTTTATTATTCCAGACAAAATTACTCTCTATCAAATATTTTTGTTCTTCCCCTAAAGCATTTCTCATACTTTACCCTGTAATATTTTATGTACATTTATTATCTCTAAAACTATTCTAATTTCTGTTAGGCTAAAGGTTGTTTTATTCATCTTTGTATTCCCCATAGTACTTAGTACAATATTCTGTATATACTACGTTTGGTGAAGGAATAAATTAACGGAGGCTAGTTATGATTTCTATGAAGGAAACACACCTCGGTTCTCAGCTGTTAACTGCTTTCCAGGGTCACTTTCTTTACACTGCTTTCCACTCTGTGCTGGTCCTGCTTTGCATGTTCTTGAATGTGTCTGAAGACCTCCTGCTCTCTGCCTACACCAGAAGTAATCAAGATACAGTAGCGCAAGGCTCTGACCTTTCAGGAGACCTTCTAAATCAAAAACTTTTCCCCATATTCTCTTAAATGAGCACATCCCAAATTCATAGGGGAAAGTTAGAATGGAGCACAGAGGAGCCCATTCTAGGTGAGGAGTCACACCACAGCTGAGCACAGCTCTGTTTCCTCTCTCCCACGCTGTCTGAGGCAACAAACACTACTCATAGTGCAGAAGCACAAACACTATTTCTGACTTTTCATGAAAACCACTCTAAAAACACCTTGCTCTCACACTGCCTTTCACTGGGCCATTTTAAGAACCTAACCATCAAATAGGAGATAATTACACCATCTCCTTCTTGAACCAAATTCTTTATTTCCTTCTCATTTAGATGCCTCTGAAAAGAAATTAGATCAACAGCTTAGAGCCCAGGATAAATAATAAAACAAAACAAAACAAAATCAGACTGGATTCCAAGGTGAACTGGTAGCTTCTCCCTGTTCCATGACTACAGACTATTCCTAATCCCCCAAAAAACTATCATAGTTTTGAACATTTTTGTTCAAAAGTCTTTAAAAACAAATAAGGATGAATCAGAGGAAATGTACCAGTATTACTAAAAACAAAAACAAAAACAAAACAACTCAAGTGCATGCTCTTTCAACAGTGAGAATTGTTATCTTTGTGTCAAAAGGATGTTATGATGTACTTTCATGATTCCAAATGACCTCAAATCCTGTTCAAGTACCTCTCTACAATCACATGTTTCACAGATTAGTGAAAGAGTTCAACACTAATACAAAGACTGGCCATTGTTGCTCATTTGAATCAGATGAATTATTAAATATAGGTTCAAATAATCTTTTAAACTATTTGTAACAGATTATACTACCAAATCACACATTTGATGGATAGCATGCATGGAAGCATAACATAGAAGCAAACAATGTGAAATTAAACAGAATTTATTTGAATTCCAGTTCTACAGCCTACCAGCTAAGTCACTGTGGGTCTGTTATTTGAACTCTGTGATGGTTAGTTTTATGTATCACCTTGATTGGGACATGGTGCCCAGATATATGGTTAAACAATATTTTGGATGTTTCTTTGAGGGTGTTTTGGACTATATTAACATCTGTTCCAGGCTTCTGAAAGAGAATTGACAATAAAACTGTGTAAATTTAAAGTATACAACATGATGACTTGATTATATATATATACATTGTGAAATGATTACTGCATTAAGTAACACACCCATCACTAACATATTTATCTTTTCTTTTTTGTAGTGAGAACACTTAAGATGTACTCGTAGAAGATTTCAAATATACAATACAGTATTATTAACTACAGTCACTATGCTGCACAGTAGGTTGCCAAGGACTGGGGAACAGGGAGATGGGGAGATGTTGGTTAAAGGATTCAAATTTCAGTTATGAGATGAGTAAGTCCCAGGAGCTAATATGCACCATGGTGACTCTAGTTGTAATACTGTACTATATACTTGAAAGTTGCTCCAAGAGTGGAGCTTTAACGTTCTCATAACAACAACAATGAAATGGTAATTATGTGAGGTAAAGGATGTATTAATTAACCTTATTGCAGTAAACATTTTGCAATATATATGTGTGTCTAATCATTACATATACACATTAAACTTACACAGTGTTACATGTCAATTATGCCTCAATAAAACTGGGGGGGAAATCAGTAGACTGTCTTGAATTTAGCAGAAAATACATAGAAAAAGAAATAGAAAAATCAACCTATTCAAAATAACAATAAAAAAATCCCACAAAACCAAATCAAGAAACTTTGGATCAAAGCAGGAAAAACCCAAGTTTCATAAAAGGTTTATGTAACTAAAGATCTAGTAGGACTTGCTATGGATGTTACAAGTAAAACAAAAAACAAAAAAAGTATTCTCAAATACCAACCCCAAATTGAAGATCATAAGGGCAAACACTCTAAATTACAAGTATTTGGTTTGTAGACAATCCTGTGTAGCTTATTTTAGAAAAGACAGATCCAGGGGTTTATTAATTCAAATATAGTTAATAATTACTCAGTGCTAGATTGGTACATTTATTAATGTTCTATCAAGATTTTAATTAACCAAGATAATATCAGTGTTGTAAAACTCACTGAGATTTCAGCATACTCTATACTTGAGAAGACTTAAGATAGCATAGGAAATAACTTTCTTGAAATATTATCAGTGCCAATGCTTTCAGGAAAGTTATTTTATATAATATTTACTATTCTTCCACAGTTATTTTTCTGTCCAAGTTTTCTCATTCTTGATTCAATTTCAGTAATTTTTTTTCAGAAATTTATTTTCTGGAGACAATATTTTTGGTATAGTTTCATGTATTCTTATGTCTTCTATATCTGCTGTTACATTATTGTTCTCATTTTTTAAATTGTTGAATATTTGGTGTGTACTTTTTATCAATACAAATTACCCTCTTTATCTTGGTTAATGCTGTTTCGGACCTCTACCCTTGCCATCTCTGTATAATTTGCCTGTTATCTTTGTCCCTTCTCTTTTCTTTAGCTTTCTTTTTGTTTTAATTGTGTATCTGACAGTGTACAGACTTCTGATAACTGGACTTTCTTTTTAAAACCATCAGAAGAATCTTTGCCTTTCACTACATCTGTTTAAACCATTCATGTATATTGCATAATTTTTATGTTTGGTATAACTCCTTCACCTTTTTTTCTATGATTTCTTTCTTACATTTTCTGGCTAATTTTTAAATTATCTATATTTTATTCCTCAATCACACACCTATCCCCAGACCAATAGAGACCTTAGTAAATATTTCTAATTACTTCCCTTCCTTTGTGGGATGTTTTCTACTTCTTATTAATAATGGTTTATTCATTTTCTTTTAGACATATATACATTGTTTCCTTTAAGGCATGTAAAAATAAAAATGAAAAAAGTTTTATACTAATATTTAATGTAATTTTATCTCCCCAAACACCCCCACTCATCTCATCTAATGAAATTTCCCCCTCTGCCAGAAGCCTGGTTTGTGCTCTTGCAGGAAGCCAAGGTGGTTCCCAACAGGATACTAAAAAGAGCACATACCATGGGAATCTGTATCTATTATTTAATCGATTCAAAGGCCCTTAGATTTTTAGATTTAGATTTAGATTGCATAACTATACATATACTCAAAAAAACTACTTTTAAAATGC